TTTTTCTAAAAGTTAAAATAGGTATTATTTCCCTCTTCTTTTTGCTAAACATCATATCAAACTAAGAGCTAATAGTTACCATTAATTGACGTCCTCCTAAGCTAGGTACTGGGCTACCTGTAGTATTGTATGTACAATACTAACTGTATGTACTGCCTTCCATATAATTCAGAGAATCTTCACAATAAGGATTCAGTATAGGCATTCTCCCTCCTCCCCATTTACAGATAAGGGACCTAAGGCTCAGAGAGGTTAAGTAACTTGCTCAAGAGTCATTTATCTAGTATACGGATTCAAACTAAAGTGTAACTCTAAGGTCATGCTCTTGCCTTTCTGTAAAGTGCCCTCTTCAAAAGCATTTTTCACATTGCTACATAATTACCTTTTTAAGGAAAAAGAAATATCAGTAAATAAATTTGACCACATAATCTATACAAGCAGCACTAGGATGGACAATGCTGAGGATTTAGAAGCTAAAAGGTATGACCCATGACCTTTAGTGTTTATGCTCCAGGGCAGAGGAACCTAACCCCTGGGAGACACTAACAAAGCATACAAATAGAACTTAATGTGCTGTTAATAGTGGTAAATGTTACAAAAACCCTGCAGAGAAGGAGGTAGATGTGGATTAGGCCCCAAATATAGATTTAGGATTTCAGCTAAAATTATACAGAGTGACAATGCAAAATGTTGGTGAGGATGTGTGGGACACCCAGAGCTCTCATTCATGGTTGGTGGAAGTGTAAAAATGGTAAAGGGGCTTTGGAAAACAGTTTTTTGACAGTTTCTTATAAAAATATCTTTGAGCCAACAGTTCTACTCCTGGGTGTTTACCTGTGAGAAATGAAAAGGTATGTCTCTTAAAAGACTTGTACCTGTATATTGGTAGCAACTTGCATATACTAACACCCCCTGCTTAGTTTTCTTTTACTGAGTAACAAATTACCACAAACAAACTACACCTATTTATTAGCTCACAGTTCTGTAGATGAGAGATTCAGCATGGTGTAGCTGGGTTCTCTGCTCAGGGTATTGCAAGGCTGAAATGAAGGTGTTGGCAAGAATGAGTACTCACCTGGAGGGCCTGGAGGAAAACCGACTTTGAGTTCATCCTTGTTGGTAAAAGTTAGTATCTTGCAGCTGTAGGACTGAGTGTGGCCCTGTTTCCTTGCTGGGAGTTGGCTGGGTGCCACTCTCAGCTCCTGGGGGTCACCTACATTTCTTGACATGTGGCCCCTTCAGTGTCCACATCATCAGTGGCATATTGAATCCTTCTTGTGATTCAGATTTCTGACTTCTGCTGCTGCCAGCTGGAGAAAACTCATTATGATTAGACCAGACCCACCTCAGTAATCTACCCATCTTAAAGTCAAATGTGCCACATTCAGGTAAAAATCCACCATATTTATAGTCTGGGAATTATGTGGGGTGTGTATACCAGGGGGTGTGGAATCTTGTAGAACCACTTAGAATTCTATTTACCCCAAGCACCCAGTTGGGAACAACGCAAATGTCCATCCAGAGGAGAATGGGTAAACAAACTGTGGTATACTCATACAGTGGAATACCCTTCGCACTAAAAGGGAACAGATTATTAACATATGCAGCAACTCAAATGAATCTCAAAAACTTTATGCTAAAAGAAGCATAAAGAGTACTTTATGGTATGATTCCATTTCTTTGTAATTCTAGAAGAAGCAAAACCTATCTATTATAATAGTAGTAGTGATCATTGGTGGGGATGAGGAGGGTAGAGTTTGGGGATGTACACAAAAGAACTTTTCAGCAGTGATGAAGGTGGCCTATATCTTGATAGGAGGTGCTTTCATATGTCAGAACTCTTGAACTTTACTATTAAAATCTGCTTATTGCACTGAATAAAAATTTCACCTCAGTTTATGAAAACTAAGACATAATTGAATTGCTGTTTTACCTCTTACCAGACTTTTGGTTTAAGAAATGAACCACAATTATATATGTATATAACCACCATTGGCAAATGACAAAGCTTGGAAACAATGTTACACATTTTCTAGTCTAATTCCCCTGTAAACACTACTTTCTTGGTGAAGAAAAAAGTTTTAAAATTGCTAATGACAAAATCTGCTGCAGCTACCTTCTGCATTCAGGACAGGAGTTAGACAGTTTTACCTACTTGTGCTTGCCAGCAGAAATATGACAGGGACAGATTTGCTAACAGCAATACATCTTGAAGTGTAAGCACTGAATCTGGATCGAGACATTTTACTTAGATGTGTTTGGCAGGAGATATTTTCTTGCTGTTGATCTAATCAGGGAACTCACAGTATTTTGCTGCTGCCCATGATTTGGCTGAGAAAGAATTTGTAATTGTAAAACTGTCATTGTAGTTAATAAAGGACACATGGCATTAATTTTAGAGTATCTGTGACCTACCCCAACTTCTATAGGAATAGTTGATAAGATAACCAAAGGTTTGATGATGTTATGAGCAGAAGAACAAACTTAGGTAGAAAGATTTCATAAAACTGCCCCCAGCAGCTTTTATGCTATTCTTTTTGAAAGTTTTTTTTATGATACCTTCTATGAGACTCATTTTCTGTGATACATTAATTTCCTGTGATGCTCTTGCTGGTTATTGACTTTAGATCTTAACTACATAATGAAAATATTCAGGTAGCTATTAAAATCATTATACCTTTTCAAGTTACTTTAGCAATTAGTTTTAAAAATTTTGAATTGTGCATGTGCTATGTTTTCCACTTTTTGTGAAGAGGTGTTTACCATATGCTAGCATATAAAAATTTTTCATTTATTTTCTTAGAAATATTTTATTTTATACTTAGAAATGAATTCTTCACTGAGGTCCTCCTGGCACCTCATGCCCCCTGACACCCCTGTAATCATTTAGGCTCTGTTAGTTGGTAGGGCGGTCTTCCAGAAAGGTCCCTGCTGCCTTCAGGGACTTAAAATCAATTAATAAACACCCACTCCATCCTACCCAGGTTATCTGTATGTTGAGTGGTTAATATAATGAGAGTAAACCAAGAGTTTCAGTATTAGAATCATCAAATTCTTTGAGTTTTGAAAAAAATTAAGACTTTTTTGTATCAGTAAATTTGATACAAAATGTGATAATAATAAATTCTGTGTAGTTGTATCTAACAATTCATGTTTTTTCTTTATAAAAGTATGTGCCTTTGGTATGGCTTGCTTATGAGTAATGCAGATTATGTAATATGAGTTTGTGAGGTGAAAAACTCTGTCTTGATCTCCAGGGAGTAAAATAGTTTTTCTCTAAAATGTTTGCACACAAAACATTGTGTCTAAAGTAGGTAAATTCATAGAAACAGAAAGTAGATAGTGGTTGCCCTGGGCTGAGGGGGAAGCAGACATGGGGAGTGGTTGTTTAATGGGTGTAGAGTTTTAGTTTTCCAAGATGAAAAAGTTTGGGAGATCTGTTGCAAAACAGTGTGAAAATACTTCACACTACTGAACTATACACTTGAAATGGTTAAGATGGTAACTTTTATGTTATGTGTATTTTACCACAAAGGTAAAAAAATTTTTTAAAATAATGTCCTATGTTTTCTACTTTTTGAGGTTAGAAAACTGACACAATAATAACCAAGAAATATAAAAGACAGCTTAATCTGTTGACTTGAATTTAACAGATTTCTGTCTCTCTGGTCTCTTAGTATACAGTGTTCTTCCAGCTGTGGGTTGTACTTCTGTGTGTTCTCCTAGGGCAACCCCTTACCCCATCTTTTTATCCATTGACCTCTCAGCACATTCATACACTTAAACTCCTTCCCAAAATTGCTTGATTTGTGTATTAATTTTTATTTATTTTTGCTATAAAACAAACCATAACTGGAAGTGAAGTAGCCATATAATATAATCTGCCACTGTTGCAAGTATTTCAACCTGTTATTAGGGACATGTGAAAAAAATTATGGAGCAATCACTGTGTGTCAGGCACTGGGCTAGTATTTCTATATATATGTTTTGAGAGTTGATTGATTGTGGGAGAGATAAAATTGGCCAGATCCGAAAGAATTTCTGATTATTATTTTATTTTTTAAGATTATTTTGGCAATGAGAATATTTTTCTTCTTTAAACAACTTATAAATTACTTAATGAGGATACATTCCCAGTAAAAGTACATTTGGATGTTAAAAAGTGTGCTTACATGTGTTTTACTAACAGAGAACTAATTCCGAATGTAGCTATAATGTCTCGAAAGTGTTCCTGACACCAAATGTGTCAGATTTATGTCACTGGGGGCAAAGCTCAAGCTGGAGAGAACACATTCCCTCTAACTGTCCCACTTAACATTACTGTTCACGGGGGAGTGTTCATGACTGGTGTGCTGCATCCCCTGAAAGGAAAATCATGCATCAGAATGTTGTTAGAGTTATTTTTAGCAGCACATCTAGAAACTGTTAGTATTTTCATTCTAGGATATACTTTTCTATATACTATAATTCTAAGAAAAGTAAATAATTTTAGACATGCAGATGTGAGTGCATGTGTGCATTATGTTTGTGTGTGTGTGTGTGTGAGAGAGAGAGAAAGAGAGAGAGAGAGGAAAAAGACATCCCCTTAATAACAGGAGGGGGTAGAGGCTTACTTAGTCTATTATCATAAAGCTCTGCTAATGTAGCTTCTGAGTCATGTGACTGCAGAAAAGGCTATTATCTCAATGAAAAGGAAACTGGTTTTTAGAGCAAGCAGTAGAATAGAAGCACGAAGAATTTTCGAGTGTTCCACCATGCTGGATTGTCAAAGGGAGATCTGTCTGATCAGCAGCTGAGAAAGGATTTGTGAGGCTAGTTTGTCAGCTATCCTTAGAAACAAATGATAGAGGAGATAAGCGGCAGGGTGCTCAGCATGTGCTTAGGTTTACATCAAGGCATAATGTTGGTTTGGGTTAATAGAGGAGATTTCTGTCTGAGGCAATAAATTTATTACTAATTGTGGGTTCTGTTGTTGTGTTCTTTTGTTTTTTGTTTTGAAGAGTTATGCATGGTATTTTTATTTACATCACTGGTGAAGATAAGGACAAGCTGCTGAGCTCTGGTTTGAACTGCAGAGGCTGTGGACAATTACCAGGTGTGTTTCACAAGTGCTCTGACTTTATATTTGGTAATGTTCTTGGAATTCTGTGTGCTTGTGGATTGGATGTGTGTGTTGTCCAAGGGGGAACTGAGCATGACAGCCAGGCAGTAATAATGTTCTCAGGAACAAATGGATACAATGCGATCCAAATTGATTACTTCGTGGTCTTTATTTCTTTTGTGTTTTTTTAGTGATTACAGGTTTGTTGCAGTTGTCTTATGTGGCCAATACAGTCTCGTTTATTTTTGGAAATATTTTGGTAAGCATTTTCTAAAATTCAGAAGAAGAATCCAATACAAATCTTAATCATTAAGGAATAAATATTAGCCTTATAGTTGTATCTCTGTGTTTATTCTTTCAATATCCTTTTGTAATTCAGCTTTAAAGGAGAGCTTTGCAGTGAATTTGAAATCATTTAGTTTTTGGTTAGGTAATACATAAAGCTTTCTTTTTTTGGCTGCAGCCTTGAATGAATGATTTTTTTGTTGTTATATATAGCTCCTAACTTTCTCTTATTTTTTACATCCTTATGCTACTATACACAGAAGGCTAAAAACATTCAGTTAATCTTTAGACTGTACTTGTCCATTTTTGCTCATGCTAATGCTATTAATTCTCCTAGTATATCTTCCTCTTAACCTTGGACGATATAATACTTAAAAATCTGAGATTGGTGAAAGACAGTCTAAGCTTTATCTGAAAAGGGTTAACAATGTGTACCTGAAGAATGAATTCACTAATATGTTTTTCACTTAACTTCTAGACAAATATGCCCAAATTGGGGTGTGTGTATGTTTCCAGGTCACACATTTTGAAACTAAACTATATTGTACACATCTCCTTTTTGAAGTTGACATTGGAGGAGGTAAGAAATACATCAGGCTGCTGCTATGCATTGTGTATATCAAGAATTAATTTTTATTTTTTCCAATAAAAGATGGTGAGCATGACTCAAACATAATTTTTAATTTTTAATTATACTGAGTGCAGGAAATTCTCTTATAATATCTACAAATCATCTTATCACAATATAGTTTAATAAATAATTAATCTTAGTGAAATATTCTTTAAAAAAACACTAGCACCTTAGTTTAGTCTATCTACATATAAAGTTGGTTCAAATAAACAGTTAATAAACTGGTTTTGATCATGCTGGAATATTTTTTTTTCAATTGTAGGATTCTCCCACATTCTTGTAAGTACGTATAAGACAGAGTTATGTACTTACTGGTTGCAGCATCCTAAGTTAAAATATTTGAATAATGGAAGTTTTATAGCCAGATTGTTAGGGCTTTCTTTGTTTTCCTTTGTTTTTGCTTTTAAATTTTAGTTTGTTGCCTTATCTAAAGCTTTTGAAGTGATCCAAGGATTTTGAAATAATTCAAAATTTCATTGAGCACCTGCTATTATTATAAGACACTCTATGAAATGCTATGAGAAAACAAAGGCAGATAATATACTTAAACCAACAAGATAACTTATAGCTGACACTGGAACTCAGTCCCAATAAATGTAATTATCCTGTATCTTACAGGAATTTTAAATCATTAAGAGGAATTTTTTGTGAAACTTACCTGGCCAATCAGAAAATACGTATTATTCCTGATGAATTTGTAACTTTCACCCAAGTGGGTTTGAATGGTAATTTTAACTGGTCTTTATCCATACCAGTTCATATTTCCATTGTATCTTAACAGAAATAAGTTTGTTTTATTTACAGTCTCTTAACACTAGAGTAGGTTTTGTTACCGAATGAAATGTTTTTCTCCTGGAATGTCAAATATCATCAGTCTTTTACAGTTTGAAATATTTTCATGAGAGGATTAATATATGGTGTTACCTAAAAATATCTTTACTTTTGGAAGTTGGGGAGTAAAGAAGAACCAATTTTATTAAAATTAACCCAAGTTGTGACGTCAGGGTAGTGCCTAAACAAGCCAGAGGGTTAGCTTGCAAATCCTGCTACACTTCAGAATTCCAACCACAATAATAAACCACAGATATTATGATCAGGTCTCATCTTGTCGGGCTTGGGGGTTTTGCTTCTTGGAGTGATATTTAATTTGCAGGCAGGATAGGGTAAGAACAGAAGGAATTAAAGGTGATCTTAGTATTCAGTGTTGTAAAACTCAGTGAAATGTTTCATAGGAATTTTTTTGTTTTGGGGGGCTTTTTGAAAAAGAAGAAGTTTGGGAACATGTAGGCGGGACTAAGGTACTGAGCTATATTTGAGATATAGTTTAATTCTTTGGAAGCCAAAGAGATAACAAAATTCATCAAGTGAAAAGATCTGTGCAACAGCTAACGAATTGTTCCAGGGTACCTCTTACTGGATTTACTCTAAAAATATTTGCTAGGAAAAACTGAGAAAAGTTTAGAATCGGTTGGTTCACTCATTTCTCTAAAAAGTGTTACAGTCCTTAACATTTAAGAGGCAAGACTTGGGCATTCTCCAGTGTGTGTTTTAGTTGTAGCAGTCACTGTCTTTTCACTAAGCTTATAGTTAGCATGTAGAGTTACAGCTTGTAATAGAATAATCATTAATACAATGTAGTATAAACATATATTTTACTGTTGCTTTGCTGTAAAGATAACTTAGTTATTAGTATTTATCCTTTTTAAAGATTTTGTGAGAAACAACAGATACTATAATCTTATTGAATGAACTTTTCCATCTTAAAAACCAGTCAAATTGAGAAATACATTGAGGTAAGAAGCTAGATATTTGGTTTCATCATTTGGAGGTCAAATCACATTATAATAGTAAGGTAATTGGCTAGAATAAAGGGTTCTTAAAGCACTCTATGAGGTATATATTTTAAAATTCATGTTTTGTATCTGTAAATCCTTAAACTCAAGTCAAAGTGAATGATAAATATTATGTTGAAATGTCATCAAAATAACAGAAACATTTTTAGATTTTAATTGTTTTTTAACTGGCCTTTCCAAATTTTGCTTTGCTGCTTTAGAATTTTTAAATGAGAAAATACCGTATTTAAAGTATTCTATTTTTATGTATGCATATTAAAGATAATATTTTGTGGGCTTTACTTTTTCCATCTTTTGATGAGGGAAATAACATCAACAAACAATTAACAGTGGTTTTGTTAACTATAAAGGTAACCTTTGTGTAGACCTTGTTATGTACCAAGCACTATTCCAAGGACCTCACATACATTCAATTGAGTCTTTACAACAATACTGGATAAGCTACCCTATGCCTATTTTACAGTTGAGGAAATGGAGACACAGAGAAGGAAAGTAATTTGTCCAAGCTCACACAGCTAATAAGTAATGGAGCAGAACTTAAACCCAGGTAGTTTGCCTCCAGAGTGTAGCCTCTGAATTCCAGTATATGCTGGATTCAGATGGTGCTGTTACTGGAGTTGCTGGTTTATTCTGGATGAACATAGGGACAAGGAGAGAGATATATTAAGGTTTCAGTGATTTTATATTTAATTGTACTTTCTTCTGTTTTAAATATGTTAAGACTAAAGCACTGTTTAAGTGGTGTTTGATTAGCAGTGAAAAGAAATATATTCACAGCCAATTTAGAAATCTGCTTTAGAGGAAGTGATATAAGGGAGAGCATTCATCTGAAGAGGCATAGATTGGGACAAGAAATGGACTGTGGATTGCCGTGGGATTAACAGGGTGGGGAGGCACTCTAAAGTTGTGGGATCTGAAAGATACATGCTACATATTTTCTTACTCAGCTACTCCTCCATTTTCTTGGCAAATGGAGACCTTGCTGTTTTCAAGGTCCTTTACTCACTGCATTGCTGTCGTGGAGCATTCAGGTATCAGAACCACAGAGAACCATGATGTTGCTCATGTAATTGTACATTAATGATACCAAAGTAAACAAACAAATAAATAAATATCCTTGCACACACCCTGAGAGCACCACTGGAGTAGGAACCACTGACTTCAGATTTGTTGTGAGTCATTTTACATCCATGCATATTCCCTCGAGAGGAGTTCGTGTCCTCAGCCTTTCAGATAGAGATCCCTTATACTCCATCAAACTTTAGTAGTTAACAAGCATATTTACTTCCAGGTGATGTCACTCTTTCTCATCAGTAGTCATTGTGGAAAGGTTTTGCCTCACTGAATCCTTGGAATTGGGTCCCTAGGAATGCGTGGGAAAGATAAAACTTTATCATTTGTCCTTGGTCTGCCTTGCTGTACCCTCCTATACATTGGTTTATTTCTAAAATGTAAGCATAGCCAGTTTAATTCTTGTATGTACTTAAAGCCTCCTGCTCATTTAAAGTATTGATTACATGTTGAAAAAATAATTTTGAATATAATGTGTTAAAATATATTACTGATTTTTCACCTGTCTCTTTTGACTTTCAGTGTGCCACTAGACAGTGTGTGCCTCATGATAGTTATCAGCACTGCTTCGAGCTTAGAGGGCAGTGTGTGTAAAGGCAGCTGGTGTTAGCTAGAAGCCTTTCTTATACATGGTGTAGGTATGCCGGACAGGAGGGATACACTAAGCAGCAGGAAGATGTATACACCTGCCAACCCCATAGTCTTCTAATCAGTCAGATTAGAAGCAATTGAAAGTCCTCCTTCCTTGGTGGAACATAAAGGTCTAATCATGATCTCACACTACCCTTCTAGCTTCATGACCCAAACAATCTCACCTACTCCCGTGTTCTACTATAGTGTTACTCACAGGAGTTAGATTCTGTAAAATCCTCATGAATACTGAATTAGTGAAAACTGAGCTATTGTTTCTAGGGGAAATACAAAATTAGGTTCTGGCAGGCTTCTGGTCATAATATTTTGGTTATTATCAATATATAACTTATTTTAAATATGTTTCTGCTTAAAGACACCTTATCTGATATATATTGTTACTTCATTAAAACAACTCATGCCAGAGTGAAGCTGATCTAACATACGTATTTTCTCTACAAGGTATATCGCAGCCTCTTGTACTTAGGAACATCAGATAGCACTTCAGCTCTAATGCTTGGGGC